AAAGAAAGATGGGACATGCAACAATTCAGCTCAATTTGTTAAGCCTTATATCTAACAATACTGTTATGTTCATCATGATTCTGAACTAGTAGACACTGACATTACTTCTAAATCATATGATTTATAGCAAATACAGTTTTATTGCTAAAGAATTTAAGGTATTCTAATTCTTTTTTTTTTAAGATTTTATTTATTTATTTTTGACTCAGAGAGAGAGACAGCGAGAGAGGGAACACAAGCAGGGGGAGTGGGAGAGGGAGAGGCAGACTCCCCGCTGAGCAGAGAGCCCGACGTGGGGCTCGATCCCAGGACCCTGGGATCATGACCTGAGCCGAAGGCAGATGCTCAACAACCGAGCCACCCAGGCGCCCCTCTAATTCTTTTCAAGCTGGTAATCCATGTCTGTAATATCTACTTACTGATCCAAATATTTTTTCAAAATATCTTTTCTCTTAATATATATTAATTTGTTTAGCTATCACCACAGCCCTGTAAGGTAACTATTAGGTCATAGAAGCTCCTACTCTACATATAAATAAAACCCAAATTGTTAGTTACACAGGTTAGAGAAAAAGCAGAGAGCACCTCTTTGGGATAATTCTTTCGCGAAGAAGAGAACAAAACCACTGGCCTCCTGAGCAATTTCAAATGATGAAAAAGTGGCAACACGTTTATGTCAAAAATACAAATTAAAATAAATCCAATGCCCTATTTCTCCAGAAAACATCTGAAGAAACTGCTAAACCTCTTCTTTACTTCTCTGGATTCTTCTACCAAGAATTGTAATGGTTAGATATCCAATTCCTCTTTAAAATTCCAGTTGCAGACAGGTTTTCCAATACTTTTTCCAAATACTTCCCACTGCACAACACAAAAGGTCCATGGGCAATAGATCCTGTGACCTATATTCTGTGCTTGGTAAAAATATGCCACCTATAATGGGTACAAATCATCAATTACTAGCAAGCTTGGAAACAAGTGAGAGACCACCACACCCTTCAGAGAAAGTAAAAAGAAAAACAGTGACATAACTCTGGAAATAAGCTGCCATAATAATCGTAACGCAGAGTAACACTATCTGATTCCATACAGGAGATAATTTATTTTACTTGAGTGAGGAATTGACTTTTATGCTTATTCTTTCTTTCATAAACAATCAGACATCAAAACAGATTCGACTTAAGCTACTGCAACTTTCCTCATATCCTTATGGTAAAATAGGGATAATACCACCCCACTTTTTGAGGCAGAAGTCTGCATCCATGCTTTAAAACACAGAGCACAGTGCCTGGCACAGAACAGCTTTCTACACAGAACAGCTCTCTATAAGGAGAACTCTGCAGTCTTTGACAGTACTGAGCATATACATTCAGAGCATGCTAGAGCCCATTACTAAGTCTCATCATGAAAAAATATTTGTAAGGGCACATGATGACTAAAACTTGGTAAGGTAAACTAACATAAGTGCTAACCATATAACAGAAAAAACCGAGTGTCATCCACCTCCCCATGGCAAACAAATCAAAAAATATAAAGGAAAACTTATTCACAAGCAACAAAAGCAAAAAACAGATAACCTCGACTACATCAAAATTTTAAAACTTTTGTGTATCAAAGGACACTCTCAACAGTGAAAAGATGACCCACAGAAGGTCAGAAAATACTTGCAAATTTATATCTGATAAGGGGTTAATATCCAGAATATATAAAGAACACTTACAGTTCAACAATTTAAAAATCCAATTAAAAAATGGGCAAAGGATTTGAATAGACATTTCTCCAAAGAAGATACACAAATGGCCAATAAGCACATGAGAAGGTTCTCAACATCACTAATCATTAGGGGAATGCAAATCAAAAACCACATGAGCTATCACCTGACACCAATTGGGATGGTTATTATTACTTAAAAGAAAAAAAACAAACAAACAGAAAATAACATTTGGTAATGTTGTAGAGGAATTGAAACCCTTGTGCCCCACTGGTAGGAATGCAAAATGATACAGCTGCTGTGGAAGATAGAATATTTCATAGAATTACCAAATAATCCAGGAGTTCTACTTCTGGGTAAAAATCCAAAAGAATTTAAAGCAGAGATTCAAACAGATATTTGTACATCCACATTCATAGCAACATTGCTCAATTAGGAGTAAAGGGCAGGCCACTCCAAGATGGGTCACTTTGACATGAAAATTATTTTGAGTTAAAAGCAATCAGGACCCGGCAGACTCAGGAAAAGCTTTTTATCTCACGGCACCTGGGTGGCTCAGTCAGTTAGGCATCTGCCTTCAGCTGAGGTCATGGTCCTGGGGTCCTGGGATCAAGCCCTGCGTCGGGCTCCCTGCTTGGTGGGAAGTCTGCTTCTCCCTTTCCCTCTGTCTCCTGCTCCCCCTGCTTGTGCTCTTGCTCTCTCTTTTTCTCTCTCTGTCAAATAAATAAAATTTTTTAAAAAAGCTTCTTATCTCCCCCACAACTGCCTAAATTTAAATTGGAAAGGAGAGCCTTTTAAGAAGAGAGCTATTAAGAAAGATGCCTCTTTGCCTAAGAAACTTATCTGCATAAGAGGGCAACCTTTGTTTTCCAAACATCATCTCCCACACCTTCCTGCTAAAATCTTTCTCCCCTTACCCTACCCAGCCTTCTCCTTAGCTCATATAAGCATCATGTTGTCTCACTGCTTTTGGAATTTGCATGTCTGTGTGGATTCCCTCTATATATGCTATTAAACTCGGTTTTCTCCTGTTAATTTGTCTCATGTCAATGTGATTCTCAGTCCTACTAGAAGGACTCTGAATGACAGAGGAAATTCTTCCTCCCCAACATTCACAACAGCCAAAAGGTAGAAATAACCCGTGTCCAAGGACAGAGAAATGCATAAACAAAATATGGTATATCCATGCAATGGAATATTATTCAGCCTTTAAAAGAAAAGATATCCTGACATATGCTACAACATGGATGAACGTTGAAGATACTATGCTAAGGAAAATAAGCCAGTCACCAACAGACAAATACTGTATGATTCCACTTATATGAGTACCTTGAGTAGTCAAATTCAGAGACAGTAAGTATAATGGTGGCTTCCAGGCACTAAAGAAAGTGAGAATGAGGAATTTTTGTTCAATAGGTACAGAGATGCAGTTTGGGAAGATGAAAAGTTCTGGAGTTGGATGGTTGTGATAGTTGCACGATACCGTGAACGTACTGGGGATCCTGGGTGGCTCAGTCAGTTAAATATCTGACTCTTGATTTTGGCTCAGGTCATGATCTCAGGGTCATGAGATCAAGCTCCAAGTGAGGCTCTGCACTCAGCGCAGAGTCTGCTCGAAATTCTCTCTCTCCCTCTACCCCTCCCCCGTTCGCATGCTCTCTCTCTCTCTCTCTAAATAAATAAGATCTTTAAAAAAATAATGTGAATGTATTTAATATCACTGAACTGTATGCTTAAAACTGGTTAAGAAGGTAAAAATTAGGGCGCCTGGGTGGCTCAGTTGGTTAAGCGACTGCCTTCAGCTCAGGTCATGATCCTGGAGTCCCAGGATCGAGTCCCACATCGGGCTCCCTGCTCGGTGGTGAGTCTGCTTCTCCCTCTGACCCTCTTCCCTCTCGTGCTCTCTATCTCTCATTCTCTCTCTCAAATAAATAAATAAAATCTTTAAAAAAAATTTAAAAAAAGAAGGTAAAAATTAATTACCTGTAGAGTCTGTATAAATTACCACCATACACACACACACACACACACACACACGCATTCAGCTTGCAGTTCATTGACTTATCCCCCTCCTCAGTTTATCCTGTACTTGTCTCAAATTCAAATTCTTAATGGATTTTCATTAGCTAGAAAGTTGTAACAGCACTTTCTCAAAATCAAGATCCAAATTTACTTACCTATTCTGGATTCCTGTAGGATCATTTTTTAGATCATAGAAAATAGCACCAATAACAAATCCCAGGATGACTGTTACAATTATCTTTCCAAAAAGAAAAAGAAAAACAAGTGTTAAAACTTAACACACCATTTATTATTATAAGACATAAGTCTACATAATCAAATCTCTTCATTGAGATAGATACTTCAAGTGGTTCAGACAAAGTCCTTGAGTGAATATAAAACAGTGTATGTTATTAGACGCTTTCTAAAGTAAAAAATAATTGATTTGTGTGTTGGGGAGGCTGATAGAACACAGTAGACCCCTGGAATGCCAAGGTTCCTCCCAGTGATTCACCAGGCCAGTTCAAGGTCCAATTCAGGCCACCAGGCCTGGGAGGGCCATATACAATAGGGGAACAATGCAAGCGCCTGGCTAGGTCATTTGAGGAATAAAGTCCAAATGGATAAGAGTTCTGACCTGAACTCTCAACCTTTTGTGCTAGTGAACATGCAGTTTTGTTTTGTTTTTTTAAGATTTTATTTATTTATTTGAGAGAGAGAGAATGAGAGAGAGAGAAAGCACATGAGGGGGGAAGGGTCAGAGGGAGAAGCAGACTCCCCGCTGAGCAGGCAGCCTGATGCGGGACTCGATCCCGGGACTCCAGGATCATGACCTGAGCCAAAGGCAGACGCTTAACCAACTGAGCCACCCAGGCGCCCCGTGAACATGCAGTTTTATATTTCAAGAGGTTCAAATAAAAACAGGGTATCTTTACTCTTACCATTATAAATAAATAAAAATTTTCAAACACACATAAAAAAATTCTAACAATTTATTCTGCGTGATGAGGAAGCAGGGGTAAGCTGACCGCCGACCTGACCCAGGGGGCAGGGCAGGCCTGCACTGGAAAAGCGCAATGTCACCGCCACCGAAGCATTCAACCAGCTCTTTCTGAAGGTACTCAAATGCTTCCACTACCCATTCTCTTGTCACAGCTTCTCTAGCAACCTCCATCCAAGGTCCTACAGACAACAGTGTACAACTAAGCTGCCAATTCTTTGCCACTCTTACCTACATCCGCTTCCTCGATCTGTTTGGGGACTCCTAAGAAGACTACATAAACATCACTTTTGTTTTTAAGATTGATAAAATTGTCTCTTAAGGACACTTCTAAGCAAAGGATTAAGGGTTGTACTGTGATAGAATTTATTTAAAATTAATTAAAATTCTATTTATTGGGGCTTCTGGGTGGCTCAGTTGTTAAGGGTCTGCCTTCGGCTCAGGTCATGGTCCCAGGGTCCTGGGATGGAGCCCCGCATCGGGCTCCCTGCTCTGCGGGAAGCCTGCTTCTCCCTCTCCCACTCCCACTGCTTGTGTTCCCTCTCTCGCTGTGTCTCTCTTTCTGTCAAATAAATAAATAAAGTCTTTAGAAAAGAAAATTCTACTTATTGTACTTTTATATTGCATTGAATATAAAAATAGAAGGAATGGTTATCTAAAGAAAACAAAAGGGCGCCTGGGTGGCTCAGTCGTTAAGCGTCTGCCTTCGGCTCAGGTCATGATCCCAGGGTCCTGGGATCGAGTCCCACATCGGGCTCCCTGCTCAGCAGGAAGCCTGCTTCTCCCTCTCCCACTCCCCCTGCTTGTGTTCCTGCTCTCGCTGTCTCTCTCTGTCAAATAAATAAATAAAATCTTAAAAAAAAAGAAAGAAAACAAAATACCCCACCATGTACCTTGGAAACTTCAAAGTTAAAAAAAAAAAAATCTCAGTACTACAACAGTGTAATGGTATTAAGACTTGAAATTTTTTACAAGTCTATTCTGGCATGAAGCAAACCAAACTGGAAAAGAGGATAATGATCTGTGAAGGCTAGTTTGTGAAGACCACAGTCTGGAAAAAAGTATGATCTGAGATGTCTTCAAAATTCCTGTGCTAATAAGACAGTCAGAAATCTGGAAAAAAATCTATTGCCTTGGTATAATTTTCATTACCCTCAGAACATACTGCACTTTATGCCAACAGTTCAAACTTCCAAAATAAACAATGATGACTCCATTACCAATACACATGTGTGCATGTGTATATACACAAGTCTACTTTCAGACAATAGAACTTTAGGAATGTTCAGACTTTTTATTTTATTTTATTTTTTAAGATTTTATTTGTTTATTTGACAGAGAGAGACACAGCGAGAGCAGGAACACAAGTGGGGGGAGTGGGAGAGGGAGAAGCAGGCTTCCCGCCGAGCAGGGAGCCTGATGCGGGGCTCGATCCCAGGACACGGGGATCATGACCCGAGCCGAAGGCAGACGCTTAACCATCTGAGCCACCCAGGCACGCCGGAATGTTCAGACTTTTTAAACTGGACAATCTACATGCTTGTTTCTTTTGTATTCAAATATTTGATTTCCTATAGTAACAGACTGGACTGTCAGTCTTATCATTAGGATGTTTACTAAAGGTTTCAAAGTTCTAAAAGAATGTTCAAGTCAGCTTTCAAACACATTGACAAAATGATTAATCTCGTAATTTTGTCATGCTTTCACAAGGGGCATCTAGGTTATTCTTTCTTGCATTACAGAAAAGAAAAAAAACAAGCAAGCTAAACATTGCTCAACAGAGTGCACAAAGACACTATCTGTGAGTTCTGTGCACCTGGTCTCTTAACAGAAGGGGAAAAAAATTCCCGAAATATGTTATTCTTTCTTGTTCAAATGTGTTTAGCAATATTATCTCAAGGTGAGTTCTGAGGGATAATTATGGCCATCACTCAAAAAACTAATCCTTAGTCAAATGTTAAATACACCAATGGAAAAATTAATCTCGGGGCGCCTGGGTGGCTCAGTCGTTGAGCGTCTGCCTTCGGCTCAGGTCTTGATCCCAGGGTCCTGGGATCGAGCCCCACATCGGGCTCCCTGCTCCGTGGGAAGCCTGCTTCTCCCTCTCCCACTCCCCCTGCTTGTGTTCCCTCTCTCGCTGTGTCTCTCTCTGTCAAATAAATAAATAAAATCTTAAAAAAAGAAAAGAAAAATTAATCTCTAAGAGTTATAACAGGGTGTTCCAAATAGATTTGATCAGAAAAACCCATGGCACATTAAATGAACATTAAATCCTTTTATACCGATGATCCACTTACTCCAGGATCATCCGAATACAACCTTTGGTTAAATGGTATTATCAGAAGCAAAGTCTGAATCACATAAATGACTAGCTGAAATCTAAGTATGGCTGTAATATTACCAATACGAGCTTTATCAGCAGGAAGCCGTAAAGCAGTTTAATAGCCTCACATTCAAACTCTTAAAGAAGTAAACAACATACATGCAAGATTGAAAACACTAAACCAAAGGTCAGCCAGCTAGGGTCCACAGGCCAAACATCGCCTGTCACCTATTTCTGTTTAGCCCTCCAGCTAAGAACAGGTTTTACTACCTTTTTAATGGTTGGGGGAAAAAAGAGTGAGAGAAGAAGACTATTTCTTGCCACATGAAATTTAAATGAAATTCTAATTTGTGTCCATCGGTAAAATTTTATTGGAACATAGCTATGTTCATTTGTTTATGTATTAACTATAGCTCCTTTCTTGCTAAAATGGCAGAGTTGTCTCAGAGTACCTGAGACAAAGACCACCCGGCCAGCAAAGCCAAAAATATACACTATCTAGCCCTTTACAAAAAAGGTTTGCCTGCTCCTGCCCTAAGTTAACATTCCAGTATGTACAAATATGAATAGGTAATGCTCAGAGAGATGCCGTATTCTATCTTTGTTCTACAACATTGCCATGAATCTGAGCATTATTAGGACTCCTTTTGTGGAACTGAGTTCACTGAGGAGGCAAGCAGGGTGAACATGCAACTTGGAGGCACTAGGCCTGGGTCTGCACCTGAAGAAAGCCTAGCAACAAAAGGTGCAGAATCATGCTGTGTTAGAAATAGCTCCACATTCTAGAAGGGGGAACCCTCTTGCTCTGTTGGTGGGAATGCAAACTGGTACAGCCACTCCGGAAGACAGTATGGCGGTTCCTCAAAAAGTTAAAAATAGAACTACCTTATGACCCAGCAACTGCACCATTGTTATTATTATTTACCCAAAGAATACAAAAACACTAATTCAAAGGGATGCATGCAACCCTATGTTTATAGCAGCATTATCTACTATAGCCAAATTATGGAAAGAGCCCAAGTGTCCATCGACTGAAGAATGGATAAAGAAGATGTGGTATATACAATGGAATATTACTCATCCTAAAAAAGAATGAAATCTTGCCATTTGCACAACATAGATGGAGCTAGAGAGTATTATGCTAAGCGAAATAAAATAGTCAGAGAAAGACAAATACCATATGATTTCACTCATATGTGGAATTTAAGAAACAAAATCATAGGGGAAAACAGAGAGAGGCAAACCAAGAAACAGACTCTTAACTATAGGGAACAAAGTGATGGTTACCAGAGGGGAGGTGGGAGGGGAATGGGTGAAATAGGTGATGGGGATGAAGGAGGGCACTTGCGATGAGTACAGGGTGTTGTATGGAAGTGTTGAATCACTATATTGCACATCTGAAACTAATAATACACTGTATATTACCTAACTAGAATTTATTTTTTTAAAAGATTTATTTATTTATTTGAGAGAGAGAGAGAGAGCAAGCATGAGAGGGAAGAAGGTCAGAGGGAGAAGCAGGCCCCCCGCTAAGCTGGAAGCCCGATGTGGGACTCGATCCTGGGACCCTAGGATCATGACCTGAGCCGAAGGCAGTCGCTTAACCAACTGAGCCACCCAGGTGCCCTTAACTAACTAGAATTTAAATAAAAACTTAAAAAAAAAAAAAAAGAAAAGAAAGAACTCCACATTCTAATCACATCCTGCCCAGAACTACTATATATGTGACTTGGACAAGACACTTATAAGCCACTTTCAGAAAAAGGAGAATTTTACATTATTTTCAAAGTAAAAATATATAATGTATAAATCACGCTAAAGAATCAACTCCATTACATTATCTCACTGTTGAAACAATGGGTAAACAAGGTTGACTTATTTATCAGACTTGTTTCCAAATGATATCAAATCTACTCTAAAAGAATAAAAATTTAACTTTGATTGATAGCACACAGAAGTGTTCATATTCTGACAGAAATACAAAATAATAGCAGCAAAAATGTTTGGAGCAATTAGCAGTATGTCTCACAGAGGGACAGAGATTCTTGGTACTAATACTTAAAAGGCAACAGTACTGAAGTATGAAAATTCTGGTGCATGTGGTAAGAAGTCAATCATATCTTTTATTTTTAAGATTTATTTATTTGAGAGAGAGAGAGAGATCTCACACATGCATGGGGCGGGATGGGGGGCCAGAGGGAGAGAGAGTCTTAAGCAGACTCTACACTGAACGTGTGAGCCCAACTCGAGGCTCAATCTCCCAACTGTGAGATCACAGCCCAAGCTGAAACCAAGAGTCAGCCGCTCAACTGACTATGCCACCCAGGTGCCCCAAGAAGTCAGTAATATCTTATTAGTGCCAACAACATGCCATCTTTTGGTACTCAACAGAGATTCAATGACTGATAATGAATAAAATCAACCACCCCCAAAATAACTGGCTAAACTGATTTCCTTAGAAAGGTTGGACCAATGAACTGGGAATACTAGGGTTTTGTAGGACAGAGCACCTGAGAATACAGAACAGTAAAGGGGTATTAATCAACAACTACCAACAAAGCCAGCCAAACGAGGCAAAGAACACGATTTCCTCTTCATCAAAAGAAAAGTTAATCTGACAGTGAATAGCCTTATTTAACAGGCTTCAAGCCTGCTTACTACGTTGTGTTAACTGCCAACTGTTTTAGGTACCTAGTGCTTTCCTAAGATGAGAACCCTAAAATGAAGAAGGTCAATGATGGGGAAGAGCGCTTGCACACAGGCTCTTCCCTGAGACAGCAGCTGACCCCTGTGACCTTCAGGTGCATTCAGTGAATCTAGATGGAGGCTTCCCTGACCGCCTGACTTCAAATGCAATCAACTCCTTTCTGCTCTCTCCCTCTCTCCCATTCTCCTTTCCTTCTCTCTTCTCTTCCTTTCTCCCCGACTGTGCTTAACCTTTCTCCATAGCTCCTTCTACCATATGACTTGCTATCTAGTTCATTACTGTATGAATTTGTCATCTGTCACACCTCATAGGAAAACAAGCTCTATGAGAACAGGGGTTTTATTTTCGCCCATTTTGTTCACCACTGTATACAAGCTCCCAAAATGCCACACACGGTCAATGAGAATTTGCTGAATGAGTCAGGAAACGGATGCATGCAGCCACCAGAAAATCCTAAATGTGGCTAAACATTTCCTTTATTTCACAATTTTTGAAGAAAAGATTTTTCAACAAAGATTGCCCATTCCAGCTAGTTTAAATCAACAAAAAGTCTTAATTAAGTAGTCAAAAGAAAAAAAAAAACCACACACACCAAAAAAAGTTTTCCATAGTAAAAATTTCATGGTGTTTCACTTGTTCTGTTGGCTGTTTTTATATTCCAAATGGAGTGGGGATAAATAAATGGAAGCTTGGGCAGAAGATAAGCATAATCCCAAAACAGATTACACCAGAACCTAATGTTCCCACATGAGTATGTCCCAGAATAATCAGAAGAATCTGTCAGGTTACCTGAGCTATAGAGGCCTGGGGATTGCCCAGTAAGTTTTTGAATGAACGTTTGGAAATCCATCTGAGTTGATGACAGAAGGAGGTGGCATAGGTGATCTCGTTAAAGGTTGAGCTCTTCCTCTTATGACCCTTTACGAGTCGATCTAACTCATCTTTCGTTTTTCTGCAAAAGTCAGAGTTGCCATAAAACTCAGCTATTTTTTCTATGAGTGGAGATCTTCTCTTGGAAGGCTCTTCAGTCTCCTTGACTTTGGAACAAAAGTAGATAAAGAACGGAAACATTATTAATAAAATAACAACTGATTTAGCCCATTTTTCTGTAACCCCTTGCTTAGATTCTTCCCTGACATCTTAATTCTAACACTTGAGTATAAAAAATTATTAGATCTGTCATTGCTTTACAACATTAGAAAAATATAGTTAATTGGCCGACGGTGTCCGTAAATTTATGAATACAGCAAACCTACTGACCTTTTCCTAACTACAACATTTGAACCCTAATTTTTTTAAAATAAACTTCTTACCATAGGGAGTTACAATTCCTAATATACAAACCTGGTCCTTTTTTTCTTCTATATGCAAATATATAAATTGCCAAGTTTCTTATTTCACAACATTATATAAACAATGGGCATTTTTTTAAATGAAACTTCCCCTTAGAAGTGACACTATCACATAAATACTCATTTATACATTAAATAAAAAATATAGCAACCATGGAAAACAAAATCTATGTTGACCAATACTATAGAGTGAATGTTTGTGTTCCCTCAAGATTTATATGCTGAAACCCAATCCCCAAGGTGATGATATTTGAAGGGTGATTAAGTCATGAGAGTGCAGCCCTCATGAATGAGATTAGAACCCTCACAAAAGAGGCCCCTCTTCACTTCCATCATGTGAGGAGGCAGAGAAGACGGTCACCCATCTTTGAACCAGGAAGCGGGTTCTCAACAGACACCAAGTCTGTAGGTACCTTCACCCTACACCTTGGACTTCCAGCTCCAGAACTGTGAAAAATAAATGATTATTGTTTAAGCCACCTAGTCTAAGGTATCTTTGTTACGGCAGCCCAAACAGACTAAGACAACTGTTATCAGGGTTCAGCATTAATATAAATTCACAAAGCCATGTTTTACTGAGCTGCCACATGGCTAACCTTCAGCCAATTCAGTTCGGCAATAATCTGTGACTCTCAACAGATTCACATACCTTCACCGTCTTGGTCCTCTCTGTTTAATATCACAGCAGAGGAGTCTCCATTAATGACATCCAGGAAGAAGTCTGCGGGGTTATTATAAGGCTCACAATGGTAACCTACAAAAAGAAGGCAACTCAGGTATATAAACTTGATGGTCTTGGAAAGTAAAAACTCACTTTCAGGGGTGAGAGAGGTGAGGCAGGGGAAGAGAATCAACTTCTCCCTCATCTTTTTTCTCTTCTTTCACTGATTTATCCTTCCTTTTTATGTATTCAATCACATGACATTTCAACAACGCTCCATCTTCCAGAAAAACAACATACTCAAAACCAACCTTGAACTCCCAAAATATCTTAAGTTAATATCTGGTCCTTACCAATTATAATTCATGAGACCTGAAACAGCTAACAGTATGCTCTGATGCTTATCAGAACCGCTTCCAAAATCTAAATATAGGTCCAAGGGGAAGAAATTGAGTTAAAAAAAAAAAAAAGCTGTAGCTAGGACTAACGCTCCTCAAAGCAAGGCAAGAAGCAAAGAATGCTAAGGCACAGCAAGATGGCACTTGGGAAAGGCCAAGGGGTGTATTCTGTTCTCCCCGTTCACCAGGGGACTGCCAAATGATCATTTGTTGTGCTGTCATAATTCCAATAATAGAGAACAAATCCCCAGAGCAGCACTCCCAAGAGAATATGACTGGCACCACACAAGTAAATGCTTATCTCAACTTCTGTAGCATGATCCTCTGAACTCAACTTGGCCTGTAGTCTATTAGGCTCATCTCCTCTAAACTCCCTAGACCTGTGTGTGCCTGTTAACTTTAAATGAGAGAGATTAAACAAAAATTTTAAAAAGATGGCTAGTGAACATCTAAAACTATATTTGGAGTCATGGAGCTCCGTCTATAATCCTATCCAAATATCTCTAAAGTGAAACACTACTGCATGAGTCATAAAACAAAAATTATATATTTCCATTCTAAATAGAACCAGGCAGCTCAAAACTGTCAGAAGTGTGAGCCCTTCAAAGTAAGACTCACAATGAGTCATTCTATTGACTGGTAAGTCACCCATACCCCCTCAAGGCCTAAATCTGTAATTTAATGTTACTAGAAAATTTTAAGTAGCATCTTCATGAACCCCCACCAAAGCAGACCAGCATCCCATACAAGGGAATAAAATGAGAAAGCCTGATCCATAATCTGGACAAGAAGACAAACTATTTGGGGATATTATTAGGCCTTTTAAAAAATGTTCGCCTGAGAGATAACTGGTTATGAGGCCAACATATTTACTGAACTGTTAGGGAAAGGTTGCCAGAACTGGGAAGAGAATCAGATACAGACCCAGTAGAAATATTCATACATAGGCAGGCATAGTCAAATAGGACAGGAAAGAGATCTAAAGAACAAGCTAGCACTGTAAAGTGAAGAAAACCTCTAGCACCAAACTAACCAAAGATGTTCTGGAGTGGCAGAAGCCATAGGATGTCTACTCAAAGACCAAACAGCACTCCTAAGAGCCCTCCTTTGCTCTCTTTCAGGATTCTATTAATAAAGGATCTTACTGTGTGAAAAAGTCAAGCATACCCACTGATGCAAAGTACCCCAAGGCCTCCTGGGCAGGCCCATGGAACATTAGTCTTCCCGAGGCCAACAAGGTGAGGCTATCAAACAACTTGAAGATAGAATAACGAGGCTGATGAATGGAGAAGATGATTGTTCGTCCCTGTTCAGACATCCTAAGTTAAAAGCGAAAAAATAAAAGTCATTAAACATCTGAAACGTGAACATCATGGCAACTTTATTCCTGCCTTCAGATCATCTGTTCTTAGTTTGACTTGATTTTCTCTTACTAACTTCTCATTTCATATTATCTGATAGTTAGGAGACCTAAATTCAGCGCTTTTATGAAACACCAGGGTTTCTAAAGTGTGGTCCATGGGCAGTCACCATCATCCAGGATATTAATGAAAAATGCAAATCCCTGGACAGTCTTCTCAGACCTACTGGGCAAGTGAATCCATATTTCTTTTTTTTTTTTTAACTTTAACATGCTCTACTAGAAATTTAATATTCATTTTATGTATTCATTATAAAGTACTCTTAGTTCAATTATAAAATTTAAGTTTTGGGTTTTTTCTTTTAAACAGAAAATACAAGTACGGGCTTCTAATTTATGTTATATTTGGATAGACTGATTTACACAAATCCTAATGTGATGGGCTACCAAATACTTGGCACCTCTAAGCAGTAAAAGTTACATCAAAAAGATAATAGTAATGTTCTTACCAGTATTAATAGAAACTTACATATAAAAACTATTTGAAACTTTTAAGTCATAAAACACCAGGCCAAAAGTTTTTCTCAACCTCTTCTTTCCTAAGCATAACTACGTCTCCTCAATGGGGGTAGTTTCGTGACAATGCCAAAATTTCACAGGAAGGTGGGCACATGGGCCTTTCCCTCCTCATTATAAGTTAATTTGTTAGGACTTATGGTGGCCACATGATGTTTCAAATACTAGTAGAAAACAAATGAGTCGACTTAGGAACACAAAAAATAAATTGTGATATAAAGAATAAGGGATGAAACATTTCAATAAGCTCAGATATGACATGATGATACTATCACAGGCCTGAGTATCTTCTTTATCTCCTAAATAAGTTGAGCCCCCAACAGGAAAAAGGTCACCTCACAGAGAACGCTATGAGATTTTTAAGTCGCTAGACTCCTTTCCATCTTCTCTTCCTCATCAGCTCTTGATACTGCTGTCAAATTCTACAAAATTCAACATCCATCTTCACTTAACACATTAGTGTGCCCCAAATTCATCCAAGATGTTAAAAAGAAGGGAAGACAATCTACTAGGATTAGCCATAACTGTCCATAGTTGCAATTTCAAAACATAGAAGATGCAAATGTGGGAAAACCTCCTTTAGTATCAAGCATAGCTTCAGGCATCAGGGTGTTGAAAGCGGGAGAAAGTAGGTCCACGAGGGTGTCTTGCTTTTGTGCACTTATCTGAGGTGCTATTTCCAGAGAAGGAGCTCCTTTATAGAGTGTGCCCAAGATGGATTTCTCTAAGTTGCTCTCAGAGTTGTCCAGCTGCCCTCACCAATAAGTCAGTCTTTGTAGGTTGATAGAAACCACCAGTCAAAGCAGATGCAAATGGATTGTGGGGAAGACTTCTTTAGTATCTAACATAGGTGTAGTGCTGCGGTTTCTCGGGCTGTGCCTGCAGCACCTGAGCGGTAGCGGCCGGGGGCGCCGAGGAAGCTGCGGAGCCGCCGGGCCCGGGGTCCTTCGACATGGTCCTGTCTTCCTGCCTCTTCCTGAATCCATATTTCTAACAAGCACCCATGTAATCTGTAAGTACACTCAAGCTTGGAAACATATCATGGACTAAATATTAAAATGATGGTTGGATGCCCCATTCTCACTGATCATTGAAATCCCCTGGCTCTTTAGGAATTGGTTTTCATTCTTTTGCCCTAATGGTACAATTAACATTACTGAGTACTTACTATGCCTTTGCTATATACTTTCATACTTTTCTCAATTCTCACAATACTGTTACAAGGCAGTACTAATATTATTACCTTTATGTTACGGATAAGACTTAGATGGCTGAGCGACCGGCCCTAAGTGTCACAGTTAGTAAGGGGTGGGCCTGGGATTTGATCCCTGGTCTGATTCCAAGGCCAAAACATTGCTAAACTACCTTTACACAAGAAGTACTACTCATGGATAGAAGAAACAAAGGCCAAAATCACTGCTGAAAACCTGTCATTATTGAAAATATTTTGTGAGAGGTATCGTGTCAATTTAAGCATTTTCTAAGCACTTACTACATGTTAGCAGTGGGTTCAAGCTTGCTCTGCTTCAAAGGGGATCAGGCCAGCAGATCCAACCATTTCAGTACAGCGTGGAATAAAAGAAGCTGAGGGTTCCTTATAAGCAAAATGGAAGACCATAACCCGGTCTGAAGATAACGTAAGTAGTGCATCAAAGGGGCCAACCAGAGTAAGCCAAGAAGAGAAAATGTAGTCATGGGGAAGGAAGATGGCAACAAAGTGTGCAATAACAGGTCTACCTAAGGAGACTACAAGTACTTCCGTGTCATTGCAGAGCCTGGATGTGTGTGCGGGGACTGGGGCGGGGTGGGGGAGGGGAGGGGAAGAAGCTAGGAAAAGAGACCGCCCCAAAAATCAAGCCTATGACGAGTCGGTTCACTCAGAAGCTGCAGCTTTCATCAGAGGGCAAGAAAGAGCCAGTGAAGGACTGGAAGTAGGGAAGTGCTTCGTTGCAACAGCCTTGTGGTCTGAGGAACAACGGCAACAGGATCAGTAACTCCCAGGAGACATGTAGACTCGGACTCCATCTCAGAGCCGTGGAAACAGAATCTGATGTTAACAAGACCCCAGTGATTAGTGTGCACAGTGGAGTGTGAGAAATTCTAGGTTAGAGCCCTCCGGTGCAAGGAAAGATGCTTGTGTGCCAACTAGTGCAAAACAGGATAAAACACAACATAGTCCAGTATTCCACATCAATCCACCATTCTCTAATGAACACTGTTAACACACTTACAGATCAACAAAGTATCATGCATTCCCTAACAAAACCTGAACCCTAGACCCATTACTTGGCATCTTCATTTAAATGTGCAATTGCCATCTCAAACTTAAGATGTCTAAAATCTTCCCATTTCTTCTTATCCTAGCACAGAGACTTGCTTATGAGGCAAGAGCATCTGAAGAAGCAAGGTAATGACAAGGAGGGGATGTCATATGAAGATGATGTGTGTGGTAGCTTTTAAAAAAAAATTGGGGTGGTGGGGCGCCCGGGTGGCTCAGTGGGTTAAGCATCTGTCTTCGGCTCAGGTTGTGATCCCGGGGTCCTGGGATCAAGCCCCGCATCGGGCTCCCTGCTCGGCGGGAAGCCTGCTTCTACCTCTCCCACTCCCCCTGCTTGTGTTCCCTCTCTCGCTGTGCCTCTCTCTGTCAAATAAAATCTTAGAAAAGAAAAAAACTTGGGGTGGTAGGGAGCAGTCCCAGAAGTGGTGGGCAAAGAAAATGGCCAGAGTACTAGGAGATTAGTTATATTTAACAATTAAGTTACTTGGCTTAGCAAGTAAGTAAATGTATTGAAATAATGACAGCTAAGTTTTTGCCTGTCTAAAAAATCATTTACAAACATGGAAAGGGCAAAGACTAAAAAGAGCATTCAGGCGTTAGACTGCACTGGAAATATTATGCACTCGTGGGTTTTTTAATATACACATGCTAACAGAGCGATAGTTACAGATGTATGTTTGCATGTATCGTTCTATTCAAACTATATATATATATACATATATATAATAAATTAATATTCCATATATCTTCCATATAAAAATATAGAAATAGGGGCACCTGCCTGGCTCGGTCTGTGGAGCATGCGACTCTTGATCTCAGGGTTGTGAGTTCAAGCCCCACGGTGGGTGTAGAGATTACTTAAAATCTTTAATAAAAAAATATAGAAATATATTTCTGTGTTACATATGCACATACAGGTACACAAGTATTTCCTCGTATGTCTGCTAAGTTGGTCTGGAAGCAACAAAACTGCAGTAGCAGCGAGCACACTAATCAGATCTTGGTTTCTAAATTCTGACTACATCAGAAGGTACCGGGACTCCCTAGAGAAATATCTGACGTGGGAAAAGGACAAGATGAGCCTGGAACATCTTGTTGACCATAAGTAAAGAACTGCTTAAAGTATGATTAGGGGACATGTCAAAAGGACACAAAAGTCAGACTGACTGAAGGGGCTTCTGATGGCCAAATCAGGGTTAATTTAATCATAAAAATAAGTAAGAATAACATTATATAATCCATTGATCCATTGACTAAAATAAGAATATGAGAAAACATAAATGAATAGAGGAGGAGGAAAAGTTCTTTACAGTAGAATGCCAACTAATATATGTAGAAAGAATGATGTAAATAGAAAATCACTTGGCAACCATTGCACCAGTAACTGATGGAGGCAGAAACTGCTAGTATATGATAAAACTGGTGGGTGGAAATTTGATGAGGAACGGGGTATGGACATTATATCCAATTATCTCAAATACTAACCAATTACAAAGGGAATAAGAGTTACTTCACAGCAGGTAAACCCAGCAGACACCAACATGACCAGGTGATGGTCATGAACATCACCCATGGTGGGAGAAGTCAAAATCAGGCAGCTCCTGATTTATGCAGAAGAACACAGCATTACTTCTGTGGTACCCCCGCCAAGATTTCATGGCCTGAGTCTGGTCATAAGGAAACACTGGATGCATCCAAGTTGAGGGCCACTCTACGAAATGTACTCTTGAAGACAAGACAAGGATGTGAGACCCAGGAAAGACTGAAAAACTGTTCAGGATTAGAAAAGATTTAAACAAGCGTTTCTGGAAAACATCCTGAGTCAAAAAGGAGAAAGAGACACTTCTGGGACAACTGGTGAAGTCCAACTGGAGTCTCTGGGTTGGATAGTGGTGATGGCAGCAATGTAGATTTCCCGACTGGGAGGTGTAGAAGGTGGTAATGATGTAGGAGGAGCATCCTTGTTTCTTGTAGTTACACTCCAGAGTATTTAGGGGTGAAGGTACATGATGTCAGGAAAAGACTATGTGGGGTGGAGGGTTGGAGGAACAGCAAATGCAGATAAATGGTAACAGTTGCGGAGTCTAGGTAAGAGGACATAAGATTTCTTTGTACTAGTCTTGTAACTCTTCTGTAAGGTTAAAATTTTTTAAAATTTTCTTTAGATGTCCAAAATCTACCTTCTGAAATTTCTCCTATAAACATATTCCTCCCACTGGAAGAATAAAAGTAAATGCAACTCTTTTCTCCATTCTTCCATTTCTCAGGCCCTAAATTTTAGAAAGTTGGGTCTCTCAATAACCACACACCGTGTCCAGTTCATGAACTAGTCTAATCCTATTGGTTCTATGTTCAAAACAGATCCAGAATCCACGACTTCTCACCACCTCACCACTACCATCCTACTCAAAGCCAGCATCATTATCTCAACTGAACTAATACAAACAGTCTTCTGACTGGTTTCCTTGTACTCACCTTGCCCAGTTATACAGTCTTTTCTCTACACGGCTGACACTCCTCTGTTCTAAGACTCTCTAAAAGTCCCCATGTCACCTAGAGACCATAAAAGCCATAGTTCTTGCAGTGGCCTACAAAGCCTGTATAATCTGCCACCCACTCATTCAATCTCATGTCCTATTCCAGTTGCTATGGACTGAACTGTGTCCCCCCCAAATTCATGTTGAAGTCCTAACCCCTAGTACTTCAGAATATAGCTGTATTTGGGGATAGGGTCTTTAAAGAGGTAATTATGGTTAAATAAGGTCGTATGAGTGGGCCTTAATCTAATAAGGACCAGTGTCCTTAGAAGAAGACGAGATGAGGACCCAGATGCACCAAGGGAAAATGAAATAAAGACACAGACTGAAGACAGCTCCCTGCAGGCCAAGGAGAGAGACCGCAGAAGAAATAATCCTGCTGACGCTCTTATCTTAGACTTCTAGCCTCCCAAGAATGTGAAAAACTGAACTTCTATTGTTAAAGTCACCCAGTCTGTGGTACGACGTTATGGCAGCCCCAGCAAACTAATCAGTAAGCAATCTCCATTCCCCTTAGTTCACTGGGGTCCAGTCCTTCTGGCCTTTTTGATGTTTCCAAACACATCAGGCATGCTCTGCCTTAGGACCCACTGCCTCTTGCCTCCAGCTAGGACTCTCGTCCCCCAGAGATCCAGGTCTCACTCACTTGCTCCCAGCTCACATGTCACATCATTGAGGTCTTCCCTGACCATCCTGCTATATAACAGAGCACCCCTACCCTCACCACAGCCATCTTTTGCTACACCCTTACCCTGCCTCACTTTTCTTGAAACACTTATATTTGTCAGTTGACTATTTCCCTCCAACAAAGAAGGAAGAAATTTTTGTATATTGTGCTTACTCTCGAATTCCCTGCACTGAGAATAATCCTGGTATACAGCAGGTGACCAGATACTGGATGAATGAAAGAGTAATGTTCCCATTGCATTTACCTCTTCAGGAGCAAAAGAACAGCATTTGCCGTGCTTGAGTCTAAGCCAGTTGTGGGCTCATCCAGGAACAAGATGGCTGGATCGGTAATAAGCTCCATTCCAATACTAGTCCTTTTTCTTTCTCCTCCAGACACACCACGTATAAATTGAGTTCCAACCTAAAACACAAATATCACTATTAACAATTACAACCACAGCTACTACCATTTGTTGAGGTCCTACAATGTGCCAGCCCCTTACAGGGCACTTTATCTCATTATCCTCATTTATTCCAAATACGGGAACACGGGAGAAGAGGTGGTTTTCTCTTTAGTAAGATGAGCAAACTGAGGCTCAAGTCAGGTAAGTGGCTAAGCCTGATATGAATACCATGCTTAACGGTACTTCATGTTCCCTATCCAGTGAAATATTCAGTTTTAAGATAGTTAAGTTAGAACCCTAAAACATATGGCCCTGGTATTGTGAAATCACAAAGCAAAAGAGAGATTAAGGTGGAAGAGGAAAAGGGGAAAGCATCTATAATTTATTAGTCTTCTTAGACCCCCTCTCCCCACTCCTCCAAAAGTCCTCAGTGGGCTTGGCAAATGGGAAAGTTCACTTTCTATCAACACCACATAAGTACCTCTTCAATCACCATAAGGCTTCCCAAATTGACCCTGCCTGTATCCCAACTCACTACAGAATTCCTGACTCATTCAGACAAATCCAGAAGGCAGAATATTCTACAGGGCAACTGGCCCAGTCTCTTCAGCGAGTCAACGTCACTGTGTGTGGAGGGCAGGGGAGTGGGGGAAGCAGGAAGGTTTTGGGAGAAGCAGGAGGTAGGAAATAATTCCTATATTAAGAGTCTTCAAAGAGATAATAATCAAGTGCTACTCATGCCCTTGACTGGATCTTGTAACAATTGAGCTATAGCAGACATTTTGGAGACAACTGGGAAAATGTGAATGAATATGGCTTAACATAGCTGATAGTAAGATACCGTTGATTCTGTTGGTTAATCATGGTACTGTGGTAATGTAGGCAAATGTCTTTTTTCTTAAGACGCATAATCAGTATTCAGGAGTAAAATATGATATTTACAACTTTCTTTAAAATATTTCAGAAAAAAAAAAGCTGAAGCAAGTATGGGATAAGATGTTAACAACTGGGAAATCTAGGTGAATATTATTAGTAATCAAACCATTATATTAATTACACCACAACCGTGATTACGATAGTAATTAGACTATTCTCTCTACATTTCTGTTATATTTAAAATTTCATAAAAAGTAAAAATTTTTAAATGTATTTTCAATTAATTAGATAAATAAAGTCCAAGAAGTCAACAACTACCTTCAGCTCATATTCCCTGGAATTACATGCAAGGAAGTTAGGGCAATGACTGCCTGTTGGTAAAGAACTTGTACCTAAAGGCAAAGATTGGAAAGAACCTTACTAAAAAGACAAAATCAAATAAACAGAGCCAAGGCAAAGGAAACCCAAACTCATAAACTCCTAAAACAAAAATAAGTGGTAAATGGTGGCTTCTCAGAGTCATGCTTTCAAATGAAATACAAGCAAAATACATTCTACAATTTTCTAGAATGTCAGACAGTATGACATGAAGCAGCAGCCAGCAGAATAGCCCCATTCTTCATTATCTCTAAGTAAGGGATATATATATCCAGGGGAAACTACTGCCATCACAGGCTCAGTCGGTAGAGGATGCGACTCTTGATCTCAGGGTTGTAAGTTCAAGCCCCAGCTTGGGTGTAGAGATTACTGAAAAATAAAATCTAAAAACAAAGCTGAACTATAGCCACCATAATCTAAAAAAAGCTCATCTTCACCCAAAGCTTCAAATGTCTTCCCAGCAAATCTTTCATCCTTAGTCATCAACTATAAAATTCCCTTGTTTATCTCATCTCTTCCTCCTGACTCTGCCCAACCACAAAAGGAGTTATTTTTGTCTCTCTTGCCCACAGCTGTTATCTCTAAAACCCAAGAGCCCAACACATAACACACCAGTCTGTAAATAAGTACTGGCAGAAGAAAAGAAGATAGGAAGGGAGGGAGGGAGAAATAAGAGACCAAAGTGCCAAAAGAAAGGCTACAGAAAAACAACTCAGATGCTACACAAGTTAGAAATAGGGGCACCTGGTGGGCTCAGTTGATTAAACGTCTGTCTTCGGCTCAGGTCATGATCCCAGGGTTCTGGGATGGAGTCCCACGGCGGGCTCCCTGCCCAGGAGCCTGCTTCTCCCTCTCCTCCCTGCTGTGCTCTCTCTTACTATCTGTCTGTCTCTCTCAAACAAATAAAATCTTAAAAAAGAAAGAAAGAAAGAGAGAGAGAGAGAGAAAGAAAGAAAGAAAGAAAGAAAGAAAGAAAGAAAGAAAGAAAGAAACCCTACTTTGACTAAATATTATTTTGAAAGCCAAATTATAGCAAAGTGAAACACAGAGCCAGAACCCTTGGATTTTTGTCATTTAAAAATTCTAGAAATATACCTCAAAAGCAAGGGAACAAAGTCTCCTGGAGGAAGAGGAAGGAGAGCTAAAAGGGGAAAGAAAACAGGAAGAAGGAAAGTTAGTGGGAAGACAGTGGCTGAGACATGACAAACAGTGTGGGAGAACATCAAGAGCTGTAGTCACATGGGAAGGGCCTCATGTTCTTCTATATACTAGACCAGCCTGCCAAACACTTCATTTCCAGGATTCAGATATTTTTAGATTTTTTTTTTCCTCGTTAATTTCCATCTTCATATTATGTAACAAGTCCTGTTTCTCATCATTACAGAGAGCAGCCACTATTGACCACACATATTATAGAAAACTTCTGAAGAAGAGTTAGAGTATCCGCACAGGTGAGATCCTATTTGCTGGCTATGATCCTGTCTGGTTTTTCCACATTACCTTGGAATCTGCCACTTTATCCAGACCTAACTGCTGAATGACCTTGTTAATTTGCTCATTTTTTTCATGACTTGTCATAGTTGTCGGAAGCCGGAGAGCTGCTGAGAACTGTAAATTTTCTCTCACTGTCAGAGTTCCCATCACGACATCATCCTTAAAGCAAAATGGCATTTTTAACAAGACATATTAGATCTTTTTTAATACCATCACCCTTAAGTACGTGTAACTTAATCCGCAAGAATAACATATCCAACATAAAGTCCTAGCTAATGATGAACTTGCAGTTAGACAAATGACAGCAACTCCAAACACCGACAGCTGAAAAAGCCGGATGGCCTAATCTTCATTCCCTATCTGTACATCCAAACCGACACAAGTAATTATGATTACTCCTAGCAGACATGTCCAGACCGCTTTATACAGGATTTAGCCAAACAGCTTTCTAAGCTAGGGGAAGGGCCAAAGGGGAAAATAGTGTCTTGTGGAAATGATAACTAGAATGGATATCATTGCCCGTATAGCAGTTATATTCCAGATTCTCCTGCCTCTTCATTTAACACCATTCTGAATCTTAACAGGAGATTATGAGAGGCTGGTGTGAAGAAAACTGGTTCCACAAATATGTCATTTGGTCAGCTGGAAGTACACTGAACTATCAGCCAAGGCACTCGCTCATATAGAAATAGAAGAAAGCTAAAATACAAATCCACAAATACTTACTTGTACCACATAACCTGAATTACATTTGAAATTGGCAGGTCGAGGTGCTCCATTTATCAAAACATCTCCAGATAATCCATTCGGATCTTTCCTTGCAGCTAAGATATCTAACAACCTGTGAGAGGACATATACATTGTTGTTTTTCTCCAACTCTCAGCTACTCTAAATCCAAATTCTGCTTAAGTTAGAATATTAACCGATCAAGAAATTCCATGGATCACCTAAAATTATGTATATTTTTTTCAGGTACTTCCTCAAGTTTAATTTTTATTTAAATTCTAGTTAATTAACTTACATGATAAAATTGGTTTCAGGAGTAGAATTTAGTGATTCATCATAAAATTACGTACATTTTTGAATTCTCACCTTCCCTTTTTTAGTATATACTACAATATAACTCAGAAACATGGAACAAGTCCCCGCTAGCTGATCCAGCACAGACTTCCCAAACAGCCTTCCAGGTCGTGTGACCTTGGGGGTCTCAAGTCAGACGATGTGCTCCTTTGTCTAAGACACAAGTCTTCACTTAGCCCTTTGGCTCCATCTCCCCACTTTGAATTTTTTTCTCTCTCCTTCCCCTCCCCATTAGCTCAAATCATAGCCGACAGCTCTATGCCAATCATGTCCTGTTATCGTGTCCTGTTAGTAAGCTGCCCAAGTAAGATCTCCCAGTCCTTGGGACCACCACAAGCTAGCATCATGCATGTTATCCACAGCGCCTAGAACCACACTAGACATGCAGCGAATGGTCGACACACACCTACTCACATAAAAGTCATCTGGAAAAGCACATTAAAACTGCAAAGAAAAAGCTGACTTATGCTATTATACTCACGAAGATTTGCCGCCACCTGTGGGTCCCAGAATGGCATTGAGGCCAGGTCTCATGATGCCACTGTAAACACAGAACATATCAATTTATAGGCCCGCTTCAAAACCGGTTCTATAAATTTACGGTCTGCTTCTAATACACTCAATGAAAGTGAATAAACTATAAACAGAAAACAAGCACAAACCAATGCTTAAATGAAAAAGACACTGAAATGTCAATTAACATCAGTCCAGCAAACAAAGGATCTTAATCACTAGTCAAGACCTGTAAGAAAAATGGCTTGGGTCCCTCTAAACTCCTTTTACTTCTTCTCTAAACCATTTATATTTTTTGAAATTTCAAGTTTCCTTAAAGTAACAGATTCTGGTTAAACATCTGTTACACTCACCCTCTTAACCCAGTGTGAAGAACGTAACAAGTCTTAACTAATGTTTGATGACATTAACTGATTTACTTCAAATCACCTCGGTTGCTACCTAGTCAGGTTCTACACAATTAATAAATCAATGGATTTCTAGAATTACCAGTAGTGTCCTCACCACTTAAAACTAGTCAGATTAAGAAACAATATATGTGAAGTAGAAATTCAATGGCTAAGAATAAAGCACCTCAGGGGTAAAAAACGAAACACCAATTCTTAACCCTCACAAAATTTTTACTGAATTAGAAAAGTAAAACATGGGAGCGCCTGGGTGGCTCAGTTGGTTAAGCATCTGCCTTCGGCTCGGATCTTGATCCCGAGGTCCTGGGATCGAGCCCCGCGTCAGGCTCCCTGCTCAGCGGGAAGCCTGCTTCTCCCTCTCCCACTCCCCCCTGCTTGTGTTCCCTTTCTGGCTGCCTCTCTTTCTGTCAAATAAATACATAAAATATTTTCTAAAAAAAGAAAGTAAAACATGCACCCTCAGGATATATCATTTTCTTCCCTATAAAGTATCAGGTAAGTGGACTGGAAAATTCTCAGCATAGAAGTGGTAGATATCACTTTCTATAAGGAACAACCTTTAAGGATATATAGACATGGAGTACACAAAGCATGTCCCAAACAAACTAAGTAGATGTTTAAGGGTAGTGAATATTCAAGAGAGCAAAAAGTTGGAAAAAATTAAGGCAGGGTTTACTGTGCTGAGACTGAAGAAGAAGGCAAGTAGTTTGAATTTTATCCTGAAGGCAACCAGTAGACTGATAAGGAGAATGGACTGGAGAAAGGAGAATTAAAAGTAGGCCCTTTCCAGGGGCACCCAGGTGGTAGAGTCAGTTAAATGTCCGACTCTTGTTTTTGGCTCAGGGCCTAATCTCAGGGTATTGGGATTGAGCCCAGTGTTGGGCTCCGGGCTCCATGCGGAGTCTGCTTAAGACTCTTTCTCCCTCTGGCTCTGCCCCTCCCTCCCCTCTAAAATAGACAAATAAAATCTCTTAAAAATATATTTAAAAAGAAAGAAAGAAAAAGAAAACAGTAGGGCCTCTCCAGTTAAACAGGTGTGATAAAATAAAGACCTTGAAAAAGCCCTTTCAAAACCTTGGTGTCTATGCCCAATCTGTATTGGAACTGATAAATCAAAATTTATTCCACAGAAAAAACAGTATTTGTTCCAAAGCTGAAATCTACCTCATTCCCAGGTAATGATTTTCACATAGGCCAATCTATGGCTATATAACCGTGAGTGATAAACTTCACGAAGCAATTGTACCACAGTGCCTCAACCAAGGAGGACCTCAGCATTTACTGACTATTGTGCTTAAATTGTCACAACTATAAAATGGCTGGTGGATGCTAGGGTGAAAGGTAGCTTTCACTCTGCTCATGAACTGAGGTGTCTCTCACTGAAACACTGGACAAATACAATGAGTTTGATAAACCAGGAACAAGCTGTAGAACAGAAAGAAAGATCTCTTATTCTTTCAGTGATGTCTTCCCCTGCCCCCAAATGTAAAAAGACAAACTGGTTGAGTGAACTCTCAAGATGCATTTATCTGTAACTCTTGATGCATCTTCTTCATAAATAGATACCCAGTAACTTCTCCTTAAATAACCAGAAATAAGCTTGTTATTCACTAAGATGTCATTGTCAGAAAACTTTTCCAGGTTTTTAAAATACCTTCTCAAATAAGAACCAACCAATCCTAAATGATTAACCCAAAACTGAATGTGAACACTCTAGGACAATCTTTCAGGTCCCCGAGTTGGGCTTACTTTGGCATTAAACCCTAACATTACAGAAAACAACCATAACATACAATCACAAATGCAAGAAAGAGTTCCAGTTGGGAGCAGTGGCTAATTCTCCTTCCATTCATTCAACACAATTATCCAGTGACTACTACGGATGACAAGACCCTCTTCTAGGACATGGGACAGAGCTGAGAATAAAACAAATTCCTAGGCCACGTGGAGTTTGCACTCTAGTCCAGGGATCAGAAAGTAAGAGCTAGTCACCTGTTCTCTGTTTTCATAAAGTGTTACTGGAACAGAGCCACACTCTTTCATTTACATCCACAGCTGCCTTCACGCTACAGTGACAGAACTGAGTAGTTGCAGCACAGATGTATGGCCCATAAAGCTGAAAATATTTACTAGCAGGCCCTTTACAGAAAGGCTGTTGACCCCTGTTCTGGTTTATGGCCTACAATTCCCTTGTTTCCTCACCCCGCTCTCCACGCTACTATCATCCCTCAAAACTCAGTTCCCACCCTTATTTACTGCCTTACAGCCTTTGCGTGCAGGAAAGTGTCCCTCACTGTACTGTAAAACCCTGTCAACAAGACGGTGTCATCTCGGGCCCCTGGGGGACTCCGTCGGTTACACATCTGCCTTCAGCTCAGGTCATGGTCCCAGGGTCCTGGGACCAAGCCCTGCATCGGGCTCCCTGCTCTGCGGGAAGCCTGCTTCTCCCTCTCCCACTCCCCCCTGCTTGTGTTCCCTGCTCTCGCTATCTCTCTGTCAAATAAATAAATAAAATCTTAAAAAACAAAAACAATAATGGTGTCATCTCGTGTTACTACCCACCCCACCATAGCATGCAGCCAGTGGTATACAATGGGTAGATCACTAAATGCTGAACACATCAAGTGAAACCTAGCTGAAGGAATCATGTCACATCGATTACATTTTAGTGCATAATGGTTAATCCTCTGGTCTCATTTTATGAAGAAGTCCATGCCACTCCCACTGCTTGGAGCACCATCCCTGCCTACCCTGCTCTACACACACACACACACACACACACACACACACACACACACACACACACTATAACACACTCTTCACTTTCTCTCTCATGTCCCCGGCCCTCCAATTTAAGTTTAGGGGCTTCCACAGGGCCTTCCCATCCCTCCATCACGGTAGCATAACACAGTGATATGCTTTACTTGTCTGAACCCATCATTAGACTAGAAGGTTTCTGAGAACAGAGGATATATCTATGTCACTAGCATCTTGCACAATGTCAAGCACCTAGCAGATGTCTAAAATTTGTTGAATAAGTGAGTCTCTGCATTTTTATAAATAACAATTACTTACAGTAAAAAAAAAAGACAAGTTTGCAAAAAAAAAATGTCAAGAAGTAGGAAAAACTCGATAGCTGTAACAGAACACAGGCTGTGAAGGGACATGGGAGGAAGCGAGGTGACAGCTGAAGGGTGGGCTATTTACTTGTATTAAAGAAAGAGAAAAGTGAGCAAATCAGTAAGTGTATCAAGGATAATGAGAGCCAGGGTTTTCACTTTTTGAGATGTTTTACAAACAGAAATGTGGAAAGAATGCTGGGGTATTAGATTACAACTGGAGGTATTAATGAGAAGTCCTAGGTTTTAATCTATATACACAGGTAGATATAGCAAGTTTTAGACACACGTATAGGCACATGTGTGTATACATATATACAGGTATGTGCTCCCTGGGTCTACCCACTGAGAAGGCATAGCACATAGGACAACCCAACAGCAACAAATATCCCAAACACCCAGATCGTGGTTTGTAAATACCATCCTCCACAAAAAGGAACAACAGCTGATTCCAGGTCTGAAGCAGCGTAAGTATTCAGGGAGTCTGAAACTTCTTGCTGTGTCAAAAAATACTCAAATGAGAGGACAGGTCAAAAGAATGAGTTAAAAAAAGCAAAGGTCTCCCACTAACCGAATCAGAAACAATGGGAGTATCAACAATAATGATAATGGGGCGCCTGAGTGGTTCAGTCGTTAAGCGGCTGCCTTCGGCTGTGGTCATGATCCCAGGGTCCTGGGATCGAGCCCCACATCGGGCTCCCTGCTCAGCAGGAAGCTTGCTTCTCCCTCTCCCACTCCCCCTGCTTGTGTTCCTGCTCTCGCTATCTCTCTCTCTGTCAAATAAATAAATAAAATCTTTAAAAATAAATAAATAAATAAAAAATAAAAATAAACCGACCACTCATTTAAAACAAGTGTATTTGAAAACCAAAGTACTTTTACAGCATGCTGTCATTTCAACTACCTGACTCTAGCATCTAGAACATAAAGGACATAAAGTGCATAAGTACCTAAAAGTGTCTGGCTCATAAGGTACAGCTGCACATCTTCTCTGTTTCAAAGATCAGAAAACTAAAGCTCCAGAGATGACAATTATATCCCCATGACCAAGAACTAGTAAATCATACATACAGCCAGTCGCTTGCTAGAGAACCCCAGGGCATACCCAGAAAAAAACTAAATGACACATTAATTGTTCAGTTTCTCAAACTAAAGTTGATGCACATGGAACAACCACTTTAAAAAACAGTTTGGCAGGGGTGCCTGGGTGGCTTAGTCTGTTACACATCTGCCTTCGGCTCAGGTCATGATCCCGGGGTCCTGGGATCGAGCCCCATGTCGGGCTCCTTCTCCCTCTCCCTCTGCCTGCCGTTCCCCCTGCTTGTGATCTCTCTCTCTCTCTCTCTCTCAAATAAGTAAATAAAATCTTTTAAAAAATTTTTCAATAAAATAAATAAAAACAGTTTCGCAGTTCCTTTAAAGCTAACCATATACCTAATATGTGACCCAGCCATTTCACTCCAAGTTAGCCACACGAAATAAAAGCATGTGTCTATATGTCTGATTAGACTTGCACACAAATGTTTGTAACACCTTTATTTGCAATAAGCAAAAACCTGTAAAGCTCACTGTATGTCAATAAACTATTTTAATACAAATTCATGCACATACTTGACATTTGTCAGGATTTCTTTCTCAACTGTTTTTCGACCAAGAAGAAAGCCACTCTTCACTTTTACTCGATAGCAAATGTTATGAAAACTTAACACAGCTACTTCAGTAAATGTCTTCGGGTTGTTGGAGGTCATCCTGGAGAGGTCACTGGTGTTTCTTCGTGACATTGGGATAAAAACTTGATCATTATTGGAAGACATCTGGAGAGTTTTGGCCTTTCTGTAGAGGGAAAAGCAACAGTAAGTTGATAGTCCAGATAAATGAGATTGTAAACACCAATAAGAGTACACTTAAAACAAGTCCATTTTGGTACACATTTCCAATTATAAAATACGTAAGTCCTGGGAATATAATGTGCAGCATGGTGGCTACAGATAACAACACTGCACTGTATATTTGAAAGTTGTTAAAACAGCAGATCTTGAAAGTTCTCATCACAAGAAAAAAGAATGTGAGGGGTGCCTGGGTGGCTCAGTCATTAAGCGGCTGCCTTTGGCTCAGGTCATGATCCCAGGGTCCTGGGATCGAGCCCCGCATCGGGCTCCCTGCTCAGCGGGAAACCTGCTTCTCCCTCTCCCACTCCCCCTGCTTGTGTTCCCTCTCTCGCTGTGTTTCTCTCTGTCAAATAAATAAATAAAATCTAAAAAAAGGAAAAAAAGAAAAAAGAATGTGACTTTGTGTGTGATAGATGTTAACTAGACTTTTTGTGATCATTTCACAATATACACAATATTAAATCATTATGTTGCACACCTGAAACTAACATAATGGTATATGTCAATTATATCTCAATTAAAAAAAATAAAAATGAAGCTCTAACTTTAAAAGAATGTAAGATACCTCATTAGTCATTTTTATACTGATTACATGCTTAAATAAAAATATTTTGGGGGCAGACATGGTCCGAGATGGCAGAGGAGTAGGAGATCTGCATTTCGTCTGGTCCCAGGAATTCAGCTGGACAGGGATCAAACCATTCTGAACACCTACGAACTCACAGGAGATCAAAGAAAAGAATAGCAGCAACTCTTTGAACAGAAAAGCAACCACTTTCTGGAAGGTAGGACGTGCGGAGAAGTGAATCTGAGGAGGTATTTGGGAAGATAGACGGCGGGGGAGGGGGCCTCTGTCAGCCACTACCAGCAAGTGATAGAGCAGCAGAGCACAAGGTCCAAACTTTTAGAAGTCGGCTCTGCTGAGGGATGTCAATCCAGTGGCTAAGTGGGGGGTGGAACCCTCGCTGGGACAGTGTGGTCTCAGGACCCTTGGGGTCACAGAAAGACTGGGGGTGCCTGAGTGTAACAGAGCTCCCAGGTATCAGACCAGGAAAGCCAGCCACAAAGAGTGAGCCGAGGAATGGGCTCTCAGCTGGGGGTGCCATAAACCATGATCAGCGGCATAGTTGGGCCAGTTCTCTTCGAGCAGGGCCCCAACAAGCGGCAAAGGAAACAGTCAACCAAACCAAAAGACAACCGACAGAATGGGAGAAGATATTTGCAAATGACGTATCAGATAAAGGGCTAGTATCCAAAATCTATAAAGAACTTATCAAACTCAACACCTAAGGAACAAATAATCCAATCAAGAAATGGGCAGAAGACATGAACAGACATTGCTGCAAAGAAGACATCCAAATGGCCAACAGACACATGAAAAAGTGCTCAACATCGTTCGGCATCAGGGAAATACAAATCTAAACCACAATAAGATACCACTTCACACCAATCAGAATGGCTAAAATTAACAAGTCAGGAAATGACAGATGTTGGCGGGGATGTGGAGAAAGGGAAACCCTCCTACACTGTTGGTGGGAATGCAAGCTGGTGCAGCCACTCTGGAAAACAGTATGGAGGTTCCTCAAAAAGCTGAAAATAGAGCTACCCTATGACCCAGCAATTGCACTACTGGGTATTTACCCCAAATATACAAATGTATTTAATCCATAGGGGTGCCTGCACCCCAATGTTTATAGCAGCAATGTCCACAATAGCCAAACTATGGAAAGAGCCCAGATGTCCAACAACAGTTGAATGGAAAAAGAAGATGTTCAATCAAATGAACATTTATGTGAATGCTACACACATAAGTTGATTTAAAAATTTTTTGCCTTAGAACAAAAGATACTTTATGCTTATGCATATATAAAATAGGGTTATAATACTGAAGATAGTTTCAAGTAATAGCTGTTGACTTAATTATATCCAGCAGTAAGTGGAATAGACTTTTCTGTCTCCATAAAAACAGATAATGTTATCATAAATTGGCACCATAGAAAGATGTCCATTAGCAGATGAATGGATAAAGAAGATGAACAAGAAGAAACCAGAGAGGGAGACAAACCATAAGAGACTCTTAATCTCAGGAAACAAACTGAGGGTTGCTGGAGTGGAGTGGGGTGGGAGGGATGGGTGGCTGGGTGGCTGGGTGATAAGACATTGGGGAGGGTATGTGTTGTGGTGAGCACTGTGTACTGTGTAAGACTGATGAATCACAGACCTGTACCCCTGAAACAAATAATACATTATATGTTAATAATAAAAATAAATAAATAAAATTTTTAAAAAATATTTTGGGGGCACCTGGGCGGCTCAGACAGTTAAGCATCTGACTCTTAATTCTGGCTCAGGTCATGTCCTTGCGGCCCTGGGATGGAGTCCAATGGGCTCCGTGCTCAGCGCAGAGTCTGCTTCAGATTCTCTCCTTCTCCCTCACCCTCTGCCCCTCCCATGTGTGTGCTCACACTCTCTCTCTCAAATAAATAAATAAATAAATGAAATCTTTAAAAAAATTTTTTTGAGATATGGTAGATTCAATAAAATATATTAAGCATTTTTTATTTTTTCAATTTTTTTAAAGATTTTATTTATTTATTTGACAGAAAGAGACACAGCGAGAGAGAGGGAACACAAGCAGGGGGAGTGGGAGAGGGAGAAGCAGGCTTCCTGCAGAGCAGGGTGCCTGATGTGGGACTCGATCCCAGGACCCTGGGATCATGACCTGAGCCAAAGGCAGACGCTTAATGACTGAGCCACCCAGGCACCCAAGCATTTTTTTAAAAACAAGTCTGTTTTAAACTGGAACGCAATATATAGTTCCATTTCCAATGAATAGGCCATATTGCAGTGATAAGAACAACCATGGGAACTATATTAGGGAGGCAGACACAACTCTGAATGCATAAATTCCAATTAGCTGTCAATTAAACATTTAGAAAGTAAATAAAGAATATGAAAATTAATCAAAATTCATGAAGCAGAAGAAAGATGAATGGGAGAAAGACTTGCCTGGTTTGAAAACCAGATTATGAGACAACTCAAGATTAGGGGCAGACCACATGATCACCATCACCCTGCTTTTGTTTTTGTTTTATTTTGGAGTTTATGACATAGTTATTACAAAAAAGGGGGTTAATTCTGGCAGTCAGGGACAAGAGAAGTTTCTCTGATATAGCTCCAGACTTTATACCCTTGGTTGTTATGCTCCCTCAATTAGCCAAGAAAATAAACTCCAACAAAACTTTTTGGGATGACACAATCCCTTCCATAATGGGTGACTATACTTAAATTCCAGGAAGATTTAGAATTAGGTATAAAAATGATTTAGAAAACCAAACTAATAGTGAATCAGGTAAAGAATTTAAACCAAAAACTGAGTATTAAATTTATAAAAGGAGTTTAAAAATGCTTCATTAGACAAGTTATAAAAGATTTAGATTAAAAAGATTTAGATTAACATATTTAATAGCTTATGAACTAGGTTTGAAATATGAAATGTCCATAAACTTAGTTTTTTGTTTTTGGTTTTTTTTTTTTTTTTTAATTGAAGTATAGTTGACAATCCTAGCTTTAATTTTTAAAAATCAAAGTTATCCATGAAGAACTTTCTATCTGGCTATGATGATGATGGACTAGCTTTTCCAAACCAAGCATTCTCCTAAGAACAACCATGAAAATAGATAAAATATAAGGGGCAACTATTTGAAAAGTTCTCTCTGATGAGACTAACCAAAGCAGAACTTGCAGGGCCAAATTCCTGGAAAGCAGGGAACACAGAGGTAAACCTAGCATTCTGTGCCTTTTCCGCAGACATGGGTGGGGCAAAATTCAGAAAAACCAGGCAGAAAGAAGTTGCTAGAGGCTAAAAAACTGAGCAAATATTTAAGCAGCCAAGGATGCCTGGGTGTCTCAGTCGTTGAGCGTCTGCCTTCAGCTCAGGTCGTGGTCCCAGGGTCCTGGGATCCAGCCCCGAATCGGACTCCCTGCTCCGCGGGAAGCCTGCTTCTCCCTCTCCCACTCCCCCTGCTTGTGTTCCCTCTCTCGCTTTGTCTCTCTCTGTCAAATAAATAAGTAAAATCTTTACAAAAAGAAATATTTAAGCAGCCAATGATAAAGGAAATTTTCAACTTTTAACGTTTGTGGGCCCTGCTACTGGGCTCTCAGGAAGCTATGCTTTAATATCTCCCACCAAGGTCAAAATGACTCAGCAAAACCTCAAAGATCTTATTCAAGCCTTATTCTAAAAAGAAAACTGAAACCAAAAGGAATGGGGAACCATGCTTCAAAAGCTGAACAGCCCCTAGAAAAACAACCACCACCCACAGAAAACTCTGACAGGCTATATGTAGAATACATATGGAGCATATACTTGCAAGTGCTTACTAATGGGAATATTTAAGGATAACCTGAGTCTCAGATCCCAAATGCAGTTCTTTGGACCGGATTAGTTTGTTTTTTTGTTTTTTGTTTTTTGTTTTGTTAAAGATTTTGTTCATTCACTTGAGACAGAGATACAGAGACAGAGAGCATGAGCTGGTGGAGAGGCAGAGGGAGAGGGAGAAGCAGGCTCCCCGCTGAGCCAGGAGCCCCATGTGGGGCTCGATCCCAGAACCCTGGGATCATGACCCAAACCGAAGGCAGACGCTCAACCATCTGAGCCACCCAGGCGCCCCTGGATTAGTTTTCTTGTGTACATAGTTAAAGAAAGCCAGCTGTAAAACTAAGCAGTCAGAAACTAGGAAGCTGTTTGATTTAACCAGTGAAGCTCCTGGCTTTTGGGGAGGAACCAAAGCTCAAGAAGGTACTCTGGGCTTCACCTGGCTTCTTTGTTGCTATCTGTGGATAAAACTGATCATGTTCTAACTGGCAATGGAAAATAACTATTTAATGGATCCATAAATTATAATGCTATTTTACAATCAGATTTGCTTTAATAAAAGGAAG